TTAGCCTTTTTTTTAATAAAAATAATTTAACTTAAAAAATATTAAAAAATATAAAAACAATAATGAAAAAAATAAAAAAATAGAAAACAAAAATAAAAAAGAGAAGAAATAAAATGAAGCTCATTAGGGCACAAAATGACATTTTAATTGAGTTTAAAAGGTTAATATATTAAATTAAGGTATTAAAAATAATTTTATCAATTAAAAATAAAAAAATTAAGAAAAAAATAAATAATGAAAATGTAAAAGAGAGATCATCGAATTATTATATGAACATTCAAATTGAGTTTAAAATGTTAATATCTTAAATTAAGATATAAAATGATAATTTAATTAATATAATACAGATATATATAAATATAAAATTAAATAGATAATAAAAAAATTTTAAATTATTTTTAATCAATAATATCAAATAAGCATCACTAAAAATTTTTTATAATATTTAAAAATATTCATCAAATATTAAAAAAATAAAAAAGCAAATAAAAATAAAACAAATGAATTGACGCGTGATATACATTATGTATCAAATAGGTTAAAAAAGAATTTTAAAATTTTAAAATATTAATTAAATATATAAAAGAAATAAAAAAAGAGTAAAAAAAAGAAAATACATGATATATCCTTGATATTATAGGGTCTCATAAAAGATTTTTTAAAATTTAAGAAAATTGTAAAAAATTGTAATAAAAAAAAGACAAAAAAAGAAATATTGGTATAAGGTAGAAAAATATATTTAATATCAAAATAGTTAAAACAAGTAAAAAATAGTAACAAAATTTATTAAATTAAAAATTTTTTAAAATACTAAATTTTTTTTTGAAAAGTATCATGTGGGATTTGAATTAAACTCTGTAAAAAATAAATTTTATCTAATAGATAAATTTACAATGGATCACATTTAAAAAAATTAAAATCTTTAAAAATATATTAATAAATTTAAAAAATTGAAATATTTAAAAATATATTAATAATTTAAAAAAAATTAAAAAATGAAAAAAAAATAAAAAAAAGCTATTAGTGTCACGGATTGAGAGTTAAGCTTCGACCCAAACGGTTTCAAGATTCTGAATGCATTCATCCAGTATCTCAAATCAGTTTACTTGTCACGGTTTACACCAGGATATTGTCTGCTTTTATTGACACTTTAGTTTTTCTTACAAAAGATGCCTCACAAGATAAAGGTGATATGAATCCTTATATACCTCAAAAACTTTTTTTTATATCTGATGTGAGATTTATGATTTTTTTTGGTAGTTGTGACTTCTCTTCAATCTCGTGACGTAATCGTCACAGGTTGCACTTTTCTTACTCTTTCGAAGCTTTGAGTGGATCAATTTAATATTGATTATGATACTATTTGTTACGGGTCGAGACTTAAGCTTCAACTCGCCGCTTTTAGGACCAGAGATCTATCATCCAGTTTCATAGAATTAATCTATCTATCATGATTCATATATTTATAAGATATTGTTCGTTCTGACTCTTTTAATCTTACGATTTTATCTTACAAAATATATATTACAAGATAGAAGTAATATGAACCTTTTACATATTTCAGTGACATTTTTTTATATTCGATATAAAATTTAAGACTCTTTCATAAATTCGTGACACTAATTTCATGTTGCACAATAAGATAAGGGGGGGCTTGCTGCGTTCGTTAACAAAATCTTAATAATAAATAAATACTCTAATCTATTTCCTAGAATTTCGATATCATAAATTTGGCCTCATAAAAATTTTAATGAAAATTAGATGTGAAGAGGACAATCCGCGCATCTAATCCAAAACCTAATAAATAAATAAATAAAATATATAAAATTATTTCATACATCATCGATGAAATTTTTAAAATTTCACTCTAATACCAAAATTAAAGAATTGTTATATATTTTATTAAAAATATTAAAAATAATTAATAAATTAGTATTATAAATAAAATAAGACCAAACTATATAGTTATTTTACTTTTAAAATCCAAGTTGTACACATAATAATAATAATAATAATAATAATAACTCATCCTCTCTATGTAAAGACTAATTTCATCTATTTTTAGATCATTCAAGACATTAGATTTTGGATTTATTGGTCAAATTCACTTACGAGTAAATTTTTGTCAGACTTCCATTATTAACTTGGAATGCAATTATTTCTATTTCAAACATAGTGGACAAAGGTTGATAAATATACTAAATAAAGTTTGGTTTTAATTTTTGATCTGCTACTTTAATGTTTGATTGCTAAATTTTGGTAAGGAAGTACTTTTCCTCAGTACCCCTGCGTCCTGGAAAACCTATCATGATTCAAAAATCTTTACAATATATCATTAAGCCAAATGGGGCATTATGATTTGCATAAATCATGTTTATCTAGTGAAAAAAAAAAAAAAACTATATATGTGAGAATGATTAAGATAAATTCTTTCGTTGCCGATCGAGTTTAGCTCCGTACGGTGTCGGTGTCCTTTGCTTAGAGCAAATTTGTTAATATCGTATTAGATAGTATTTTAATTTTTTAAATGATATATATTGATATTAATTATTTTGATATATCATTTTAATTTTTTTATTTAATATAAATATATTTATAAATATAAATAAATTTGTACATAATAATATTGCTAATAATTTATAAAATAAATATGTAATATTTTTAAAAATCAAATAAATAAGTTTAAAAGTATAAAAAATAATATCATCAATTTATCATGATATTTTTAAATTTTTAATTTGATCATATGATATTTAAATAAATATTTTTTATATAAATATTAAGATAAAAATAAAGAGATGAAAAAAATTTAACCTTAGATTCATAATTGTTAAATTTTAGAATTAGAGCACAAATGCTTTTTTTGATAAAGATTGAAATACTTATAAACTTTAATTGAAAAAAATAAAATTTAATAAAAAATAACTTACAATAAAACAAATAAAAAAACTCAATTTTCAAATGTTATTTTATCAATTAATTTTATTTTTATTAAATTAAAAATAATTAAATAATAAAATACAAGTTAAAAATTACAAAATATTTTTAATATCAAATAAAATAAGTCAATCCATTTAAATTCATCCGAAATCAGTAGATACTAATGAAAATAATTAATATTATTTGATATTAAATCTGATATAAAAAATTATCTTTACATATATCATGTTTTGGTATAATTAAAGTGTACTTATCGGTAAATCCATATCAAAATGAAATTAATAACATTAATTTACATAGATTATCATGGCTTGAGATGTAATGTTCTCTTTTGCAAATAAATATATGATACGTTACTGCAGCTAATGAGGCCGGATGAGTCCGAGAGCAGTTTAAGAAATTAAAAAAAAAAAAAAAAGGGACCACTTTTACACCTGCTCCACTTATTTTAATTTTTTATTTGAAACAAAAAAAGAAAATTAAAAATTTTCTTTCTTTAAAGAACAAGAGAAAAAATTACTTGATTAAAAACAGTTTTTGAAGGTTAAAATAATTATTGATCACTTAATTTTGAGGTATTTTTAAAGTGATAATCTAATTATTAAGATTTTTAATTTAATTACTAAAATTTGAGTAAATATTTTTTTATTATCTATTAGTTAATCTATAATAACGTGTTGTTATGATATTGTCACGTAAGTTATCAAGTGTTACGTGATATTGTCTCATCATTTGATATACCACAAGATGAGATTAGTGATTTGTATATTCGTAACATGTAAAATATTAAAATTTATAAATATATATTATATTTTACATAAAAATAATATATCGTAATAATTCTTGTTAATATACAAATATAAAAAAAATTATTTTATTAAATTTATATATAATAATTATTAAAATTTTAAATTATAATATTTTTATATCATTTTTTATTTTATTTATATTATATCATCACGTTATATTTTAAATTTTTAAGTTTACACGTGATATTATAAATTTTTTAAAAAATAAAATTTGGCTAATATGATAATATCACGTACTGTTAGCTAGTATGTCATTAGTATCATTATTACGTCAACAGATTGTTAGAGACTAATTGTTGATTGATAAAAAACACTAAATCAAATTTTAGTGATTAAATTAAAAATTTTAATAATTTAATGATAATTAAAAAATATAATCATAGTTGATGAATGATGTAATTTAATATTTTTTATATGTAATTTTCATTTATATATTTTAATCTTCAATTATTAAAATTATTTTGTTAATTAAACAAATAGTAATTCAAAAAAGCCAAGCCAGCTAAGTTTGAAAAGAGAGTGATAGAAAAAAAAAAGGGTTAGAGAAAATGGACAATAAATCTAAGTTTAAATCAACTGCTCCATCTCTCTCTGCTTTTTTGGCTTTTTGCATGGTTGGATATTAGCTGTCAAATAAGAAAACAGGAACAAACTATTCATATTCTTTCATTTTCAAAAGTTTTCTCCCTTCTCTTTTGGTTTTTCCTTCCACACTATCTTTTTATTGCTTCAAAAAACCTTATAAAAACTCTTTCACAAACCCCATTTCATCTCCTATTCGTCCCAAAGTTTTCTTTTCCATACACACTCTGAGCCTTCAGCAGTGTTAGGTTAAGCCAACTTTTGCAGCTTTTTGGATCAAAAGAATTTTGATTCTTCATTAAAATTTTCAACTTTTTTTTTGTTTAGTAATAAAGTTTTCAACTTTTTAGACGAAAAGCTTGGAAGTTTTGGCAATAAAGTTACAGTTTTTAGCCGCCCAAAAAAAAGTTAGCTGTTTTTAATGTTTTGTTGAAGAAAAATAGAACAAAACTAACTTTTGGACTTTGGGGTGTTGATAGTTTTTGTTGAAAAAAACAAAACTAAATCATAAAGCCCTTAACTTTGGCTTTCCCTTAGAAAAGTTTTTGTTGAATTTGGGTGTTTTCTGGGGTTGGGTCTTCAAGATTTTCAAATTTCAACTTATAGCATAAGGCTTTGGATTTTGCTTTGAGCTGCTTTGGCAATGCAGACTTTATGTTCTTGGTGAGTTGCTGAAGTCGTATATGTCTTTCCTTTTGGTTTCTTTAGTTGTTCTTTTGCATTAAAGCAGCTTTTTTTTCAATGTTTTCTGATGATAATTCAACGTATATTTACTCATTAATTTAATCTTTCTGGAATGCTACTCTGTTTTCCATGAAATTGGAGTTCTTGGTTTTTTCTCTTCCTTTTTCCCCTTGAGAAGGCTTCCTTATCTGGTATAAGCATGCCGTTGCTTTGTATTTGTATACTTCAATTGAATGTTACCTTGAAAATCTTTGTTTAATCAAACTTCTGTTAAGTAAAATAATCTTGGGTTCGTTTCATTGAATTATTCTTTGGAGTTAAACTGAAGGAATAAGAAGATACAAATGTAAATTAGATGCATTTATGCTTCCTTCATGCATGATTTTTCTTTTTTCTTTTTTCCCATAAATTGGGCCCACAAAAGAACACTCATTAGTTTAATCACTCACAGAAATGATCACTGTGGTTTTTCCATATTCATTTTTATTAGTACTTGTTTTACTTGGAGCTTTTTCCTCCGTCCAGTTGATTTTTGTGCTTGACGTGATTAATCAAATGATGGTATTGGTTTGTATGTTTGTGTCTATGACGTATTGCTGGTGTGTAGACTTATTCTTATTCCATGCATTATTTATTTATGTTTGTATTTTTTCAAATTTTTAATATAAGTAGGTTACAGGGTTTTTCATTGATTCTTGCAAATGTTTTCTGTTTGTAAGCTTAAGTTATTTTAATTATGGTTTTATTGTTTTTAATTATGTTGTTGTGATTACATTAATGAATGGTATGTTTATAAAATTATATGTCTACTGGTATATGAATGGATGATTATCCGCTGACCAAGGAAGTGTATGTTTTTGGGTTTATCATATTCAAACAATGCAATGATAAAATTTTATTTTTTTAAAGGTGTGTTCTGAGAATGAGAATAAGCTCATATCTATGCTCAAATTGGATGTATTCTACCTTAGATGATTATCCGACCAAAATAAGCTTTATTGATGGTCAACTGCGGTATCAAATTTCCTCTTTGCTCTCACCACAAGAGTGGTCTTTTGCCATTTATATATGTCTGGATGCTTTTATTCAGTGTCCAAAGGCAAAGGGAACAATCACCCTTTTCAAGAAGGCCTCAAGCATTCCTATATTCTAGTTTTGGGCTTTTTTTTTTGCCTTTTAATTTCTTTTGGTTTGAATAAAAACTGGCTGAAGCATGTGAGTAACCTAATAAACTTAGATTAGAGGTTTTGTCTTCCTCTTTTTTGACTGAAACCTTCCTGTATGGGCCTTGATTGTTTTAGTTTTGCTCTTGCATTTTGTTTTGTTAAAACTTGACTAAGCTGAAAGTTGATGGAAAATACGGAAGAAAGTTTGAATCATTGATTTAATTTTGCTTATATGGATGATTTCATGTCACATTAGTAACATATCCATGATTCCATAGTTGACAATGGTCGATTAGATGATCTTTTATTATTGCATTGAATATTTTATGGTAATCATGGTCTTTCAATCATGTTAACTTACTGTCTTGGATATCTTTGATTATCCTTTTCTTGACTGTTCAACTGGCTGAATGAATTCAGATGGATGAGATTGCGAATATGCTTATTGCTTGTTATTATTTCACTGTGTGATTCTTTTTTTCTCTTTTTAACTAATGAAGAAGGGATAGAGATTGGAAAGATGATGGAAAACAAAAGGAGCCCCTGCTCTGTTGACCATAGCAGTTTCACTTCTTTGGCATCCAAGCGGCAGAAGGCTGATTTATCTATCTCCACAAAGGTTTTTAGTCTTTGTTTATATCCTCTTGCTTTAGCAAACATTATTTTCTAACTTATTTTAAGGGTCATAGTGGAAGGCATTTTGTCCCGAAGATGGTTCCAAAAGCATCTTCAGCTATTACTTATTTATTAATCATTGGTGGTGGTTCAGTTTCTAGAAATGCAGAGTTTCATCTCTTCATTTCTTCTCTATGTACTAAAATAAGTGCTTTGTAGAATGTGATGTGTTTGTTGCTAATAGTAGTCTTAATTTTCTCTTTCTGGAAACAGGATAGAAAGGAGAAGCTTGGTGAACGCATTGTCGCTCTGCAGCAGCTTGTTTCACCGTATGGAAAGGTACATTTGGCAATTAATTATTTACATTGGAGTGGCAACACTTATACTTTAGGCATTTGTTTCTGGTGGAGATTGGGTTGAAAGTCAAGTCTAATATTTTTAATCCGCTAAAACTTGAATGGTGATGCTATAGTGATTGGCTTTTAAAGAAGTGGCCTTCCAACAAAAAAAATGGAGTTGTCTATCTTGCTATAACTGAAGCTCTGTTTGGCTGGTTGCAGACAGATACAGCTTCTGTCCTCCTGGAGGCAATGGAATACATCCAATTTCTTCATGAACAAGTTAAGGTTGTTTTTTTTTCCCTATTTTACTTAAATTATCCTTGCATGCCTATTGGTACTAATTGCAAATTTTAAAGGCATTCTTATAAAGATCAGCAATCACAAATTCCATTGAATATACTGCCTAGATTTGTCCAGATTGTTGGATTAGGCATAAGGTCTGTTGATTTATTTTCAAATTGAAAAATTCAACCTGGGACCTTTGACAGTTACAGTCTTAGTCTGGCATTGAACTTTTGAACAATTTCAGCTTACAATTTTAAGAGATTCAAGCTTTGACCAACCTCAAAATGTCCAGGAGGAGCTCTTGGTCATTCAGTGTGTCTCACCTCTTATTTTGGACTTGGCAAATTTTAAAGGGAAAACAGTAGTGAATATGAAATAAAAGAAAAGGGGAGAGTGAAAAATGAAAGAAATGCATTTTTTTTCCGTTTTAAAGGTCATTGGAACATCATTAATGGCGATGACTAAGTGTGCAGTGATATGGTATTTGAGTCAGAATTTGAATCAGGGTATTTGGAATTTATCTCCCTGGTGCTTGAAAACATGTGTGTCACTGGATTTTTTCTTTTTTTCTTTTTTTTGTATATGCAGGGAAACTTGCTGTTATTTGTATAAATGGCAAGTGTAACTTTAAATTTCTTGGCTTTTGTGTTTTCGGGGTGGTTTCAGGTGTTGAGTGCTCCATATCTCCAAACCACACCAACAAATAATATGCAGGTGAGCATTAAATGGACCCAGGTACACAGAAATTATGATATGTAACATGAAGACGATCCAACTAGCATCTTCCCTGGAAGATAAAAGCTTTTTAAAGATCACTTTTTGTAATGTTCGAAAAAATAACTAGATCTTTACAATGCCTCTGGAGAACCCTAACAATTTGGTTTGATATCTGTGTTGTTCAAACACCTGTTATGTTGACACACTATATAGACATTAATTAGGGAATCATAGTTTGAAACATATTTTAAAGGGATTTGATTTTTCTTCCAGGATGTAGCGCATTATAGCCTGAGAACCCGAGGTTTATGCCTTGTTCCAATCTCTTGTACCGTTGGAGTTGCTCGCAGCAATGGTGCCGATATTTGGGCTCCCATCAAGACCACATCTCCGAAATTTGATGGGGCCATCTCACAATTCAATTAACATTTTATTTCACAGCAACTGGCAGGCTTTGAAATTCACTAGAATTGGTTTAGAAGGTAACCGACTTACTATTGAACGCACGAAAATTTCCCAGGCTGATGCAACTTTGTAACAGAAATTTATAGTGATGATGCACTAAGAAAGGATGGTGGTAGGCAAAGTTATTAGTCTTTGATTGCGAGAATTTTTTATCTAAATGCAGTCCTGCACCTTTCTCGTTTTAAGCCGGTGCCGGGGGAACAAGCTGCATTCAAGCTATTCAATTATAAAAACTTCTTGCTCTCTCCTGATCATGTCATGTAAAATGTATATTGATGAACATGAGTTGAATAACTACTTTAAATTGTATCTATTAATATAGGTGGGGAAATCCATGGTTAATATAGCTGTCCTGTCTCTTTTTGAGGAATCATTATGGGTTCATACATTATTGCCTCGCTAATTAAGACTTGTGCTCAAAGAATGTGTGGGTTTCAAATTGTTGCAAATTTACTTTGGGAACCAAATAGTATGATTATCTTGGTCTTTTGCTTTAATTTGGAGAAGAGTGATTCGAGCTTTTTTTTTTTTTAGTTGGGGAACGGGGATTAGAATCTTGTTTTTGAGTAGAAAGATCATGCATCAATTACTGAGTCAAATAATGTTTGAATGCATAATTTTGCTCTTTAAATAAGGGATCATGCAGGAATCAATGAATCAAAACACTTTGATGTCTTATTCATTAATTTTTTCGCGAAGGGTTCGCATGTTGTTAATTGTAAAAAATTTATGACCATAGAGGGAATAATTAGGGTTTTAGGAGCTGCTTTCGATGATCTCCAACTGCTCATAAAAGAAACTAAGAAACTAGTTAGGGGTGTTAGGGGTGTAAATAAATAGATATTTTGATGAATTGTTTGTAAATATATTTGATTTTTATTCAATTATATTCATTAATTAAATTTTACAAATGATTTTGAATATCATTTTTATAATTATTTATTAAACAAACATAACAAAAATAAAAATTTATTTAATTCATTTATAATTATGAATAAGTTCATTTAATGTTGTAAATAAGTCTGATTATAATTTATTTAAACGTTTAAAAGTAAATAACTTTAACGTTTATTATCTTTTAACATTTTATAAGTTATTATATAAAATTTATATCACTAAAAATTATACATGACATAGAATAAAAATTATCTTTAATTTTTTAAAAATATTATTATGAAATAATTTGTGTTTAAAAATAAATGTTTAACTAAGTTTAAATGTAAGAATTTGAAAAATGAAAAGTTTACTTGAACGTCATCCTCGTATCGGTACAACAATTAAAATAAGAGGAAGAACGAATTTATAAATAACCTTTGCCAACCACTCACCAAGCTAAAGTGACTAAATTTGAAAAATCGGCAGCGTTGGCTCACTTGATGATTGGCTTTAATAAGCTATAATTTCCTTATATTGGGTTTTGAGCCTTTTTGTTTAAATAGAAGTATTTTTTTTTTTTTTGTTATTCTCAATTGATACAAGTAAAAAACACGTAATGAACTCGTGTTTGATTCAAAATTTGATAAACATAAACGAATTGAGTCTGAACATATAATTTTAAATTTGATTAAAAACTCGCTTTTGTTCAACTCATCAAAATTAAGGAATCAAACTTGAATAAGTGAGATTTTAGCCGGATTATTTACAGCCCTAAAGCCAGCTAATGTGCTAGTGTGGGGGTTGCCCTACTGAAGTAAGCCTAGCCTCTCAAAACAGGGATACAATGTGAAAGTCATATTTGGAAAATGGATTTAATTTTGAATGTTCTCTTTGAAATACATTCACATTATCAGAGAAGTGAAAAACGATCTGAATTGGCAGCAGAGTAAAATTCGACGAAGGCATTAATGAACAGTTTAGATTTTGGCCTGCTGGTTGTAGGTCAAAGTTTTCAACTCTGATGTTGAAAGTTACTGGCAGCTGCAGTTTGCCGGTTGTGTAATGAATGCGTTCATCAAGGCATTTTCTTCATCAGTTGATCTGAATCTTGGACCACCATCAACAGGCATTCAGGCACAACTGCCCAAACGCTTTCAGGTTGACAATTTTGGTCACTGACACCGACAATGGCACCAGCCATGGGTGGATGACCTGTGATAATTACCACCTAACGTACACAAAAGTCTAAAAGACAAAGTTCACAACCAACACTCTGTAAAGACATCCTTTAAAAGCCAGTTAGCCACACATCTTCGTCAAGGGTTGTTGGGTTTTTTTGCCTGTCTATATTTGCTGATCTTCTAACATAAAGGATCACTTCAATCAGGACGGTCATGATCTTATGAGTTTAGGCTTTTTTTTTACCCGACCTAGGAATATCACTTGTAATTTTTATGCAATTAACTGATTATAATTTAGCATTGTATAAGATTTATGAGATTTAAAAATAATGATGAACTCTAATTCCTTCTTGTGATTAATTAATTGCAGGATGGAATAACCAGACAGGAAATGTTATAAAAAATCATAAATTCGAATGCTCTCACTCATTTCTCGATATCACTAAAATGAAAAATGCCCATATACTCCACCCTGAAGAACATAAGAGCATTGCTGTTTGCCTGTTTGCCTGTTTGCTACCACCGTATTAGTAGAAGCTTTGCAGCAAGCCACAGGCTGAATCATGCCAATCAAATTGGCTGTCAAATTTCAAAGATTGAACAACAAAATAATAAATATAACTAATTAACAATTGAAAAAGAAATCATGATACTCTTGTATTTTTATTTACACATAAATTAAGAAGAAACAGTGAACGGGGCTTTCACTCCCCTTAAGGTGGCATTTAACACAGTATTCAAATATCAGCGTCTGTAATTTTTTTATTTATTTCCAAATTATGACATTTTTTGTCAAAAAAAAAGGATAGATATTCATTGAATATGAAAATTAGCGTTGGCATTAGACCATTAGATGGGAAAATACATTATTAAAAGAACATCCCCTCCTTCCCTTCTAAGGACACTGGGTTAAGTTACATTATACCAAGGTCATTGCAAAAAACCTTGATAGCTCTACATAAATGGATATTAGATTAGACATTTTGAAAAAAAAAAAGAATTATATAATAAAATCAGAAAAAAAAAATTACCCGAGTTTAGTGCTAGCTGATATCTTGAACAACTGAGGGTGAGGGTGAGGATGAGGAGTTATTGGTTTCACCACCGGCAATTCGTGTCTTGATGTACGAGCGGGCAACATCCAACGTCAACTCCACCTCTTTCTTATACTGCACAGAAAGACAGTAAAATGTTGAAAATTCAACCTCTTGGATATTTGAGGCTAATTTACAAAAGAAGAAAAGAGAAGGCTTTTAAAGAATGGAATTCATCAATACGATCAGTGAAGCCAAAGACTATAGTTCAACTATAGCTATACCAACCTCATTGATAGCGCCCGTTCTGATTTTTGATTGCATCACGCACCATTTCTTAAAATGAGCACCTGTAGAAATTGAATCACCCCATGGTAAAATTCATTAATGTTTAGATAAAGAAAATATAATGTTTCAAACTAGGACACCTAATGGTGAAGGATCCTCTCCAGATGTTCGCTACTTTCACCGACACATTTACTTTTAAATAAATCAAGGGTCAAAATTTGTCCACTTTGTTTTCCCTTTTTTAGTTAGTTTTCATCTATCTCCCTATTCTATTTAAGGCCATCAAAATTCAAGCAGTCATAGATTAACTCCAATGTACGCTAATCACCTTAGGATGGGAGAGGGCCACCTCCCATTTTATGGCCCAAGAACCAATGTATCTCCATATGTACTGCAAAAAAGTTTGTCAAGAGATAAAAGCCAACAGAAAACCTACCCACTTTTATATCTAAAACAGATGAATTTTCACCATTGATCTCCACACACCATCGACAATGAACCTGATCCAGCAAAACTAAAATGATGTCACTGATAATCTAGAAGCTTATAGATAAATAATAGCACAAAAACATGAGACACATACAACCCTCACCCCTCACCCAACACACACACAGACACACACACACACACACACACATATGTAAATAAGTAAATGGTAAACCACCAAACTACAGCACATCACAATATAATATCAAAGCATATAAGCCATCAATACTATATTGGTCTAATCTTCATTGTACTGGAATATCTGTAGCTGTTGCCTGTTGGCAAGATAGTGACCAGATAACCTGCAAAATGGGTCTGCTTGTATCTGACAGATCTGGCCGCTCATTAAAATATGACACTATATCAGGCTATAGCACATTTAGTGCGTGGGAGAGCTTTTGCACTTTGGTTTGCCTTCTTTTATTCCACACTCGATATCAGCTGGGGAATTACAGGCAAGGTGAGAAGGTAGATAGCAGATTATGACCAATACCAGTGAGGGTGATATGCAAGTAAGTGGATGAACAAACACATGCAATAAAAGCCAGCAAGTGGAATAATGTGGCCGTTTTCAAAAGGACAGTGCCTTCTGCAATGAGCTGCAGTTTCCCTCTTGATTTGGGTTAGGTAATGATATGTTTGGGCTGTACCTTTGGGACAGCTAAGCTGATGAACATCCATAATTCTAATGTTAGTTATGATTGCAGTACCTATTTTTTTTGGGACAGATACAGAATGCATATGATAGTAGCAAAGATTTCAGTAAAAGGATTAATCTGTTTTCTTTTCCTCAAATTATAGGACAATAAATTGGGGGGGGGGAGGGATTTGTAGTAAGTAACCGTCCATAGTTATTTGAGACGTTTGTTGTGGTCAGAGATGAATTTATTTATTTATTGGAGTGAGAGAAATCTCATCAACCAGAAAATAATGAGAGAAGAACAAAATTGATTGCAGAGCTATTGACTAGACTACACGGACCCTGCGCACAACAAAGTGTCCATGGGATCTACAACAATATATTTCAAACCCATAAGCAAGATGTCCAGTTAATATTTACCTCAAAGTAGGAGCCAAATGGAACATCATGTGCCTGTTGTACAGTTTCAAAAACCTACACGAAGAGAGAAAATTGACTAAATTCAAATAAACAATACAAACATAGAATATACAAGAAAGATGCAAAATAGTCAACTGTATCACAAGCAATGAATTTTTTACTAAGAAAGTGAGGCAACTTTAAGTTTACTAAAAGATGGAAAACACTAGAATCAATGTTATTAGTGAATAAAAATTCACAAAACGTATAAGAAAAGAGGTCATACAAGCTTTTTCTTATCTTCTGATAAAACAGAATGCTGATACTCTGTCATGGCAGTGTCTGGAGGGCACATTGGGTTGATACAAATGGATCTGAATGTTATCTCTCTAACTTGACCATCATATTCATCTGCAGAATGCCACTGTCCCATCTGAAAGTAACTTAGCAGAGTGAGTAAAAACTTCCAGTTCATCCATAGTGAGGGAAAATTTCCGGGGAAGATTACCACTATCTATGAGGGAAAAAGAGTCAAGTTGATGGCATCCATAATTTTGGAGATGTTTAAAGTGAGTAAAAGTTAATTAAAATTTCAGTCTTTTTCTATCCATTTCCCAGTTAAAACTCAACAATTGCATTTTACAAATCAAGACAAATGCATATAAGCATAAATGCACAATGAAATGAAAGGCATATTTAACAGAATAACCATGGAGGAATAGTAAAATGATCTTAGGCTTACATTAAGATTTGTATCCTTCCGTGTTGAACGATATTCATTTGTGAAACTAGAGTCATCACTTAATAATAAATTATTAAACTGCTCAGCGGTGCATGGAAATACATCCTGCAGGAAACATTCATGAATCATATATATAACAATTCACAAACTAATAAAACCCGAAAAGGCAGGAAAAGGGATAATGCATACATTGTAGATACCAACAAGAACCTCTTCCTTAATAAAAGCTTGTAGTTTTTCAGTTTTAGATGCATTATCTTTTGGAGCCTTAGCTTGCCTTCTACTACCTCTAATAGAGCTACTGTGTGCACGCAATTCTGATTCTGCTGTCTCCTATATAACATCAAAATAAATCGAATAAAAATTTGCTTCTTTTGATCAATCAGTTCAGAGGGAAAAATGTTAAGCATAAATACAAGCAAGCAAGGCTGAGACCAGAATACAGGAATTATTATGGATCAAAAGGTGTCCTTTTTCCCTAGCAAAATTCGCATCATCAACAATTATCCACACTGACATTTTATATTTTCTAAATAATGCTATATTTTGAAGAAATTCCAACATCTGTATTAAGTTAGAAAAAGAAAAGAGGTTAGTCAACATTACTTCAAACAAAAAATTAAGGGTCGCCATTACATGTTGGCATGCTATGAAAAGAATCTTTCTCTATTGGTCCTCCATGAATAATTACAGTCGAAATAAACCAATTCAACCAAAACATTATCAGTTAAAACCATATTTGACAAAGTTCAGCAATTCTTTGATTTCCTTGAAGTTCAAAATCCTCAGATCTTCACATAGTTTTCCTTTACATTCTCATATCATTTCTTGCTTTTGTGGACACAAAAGCAAGTGGCAAAAGCAACAACTAAAGGAGCTTTTGTTATATTTGCATTCACAACCAATTATATTCACCCATCACATTCTCATGGATCCAACCATATGACTTTGTATTTCTGAGTAGGTGAAACACATCATAGAGGCATCTTACAGGTTGGAACAGTGTCCCCTAACACTATAATATCAGTTAAGGACTTCTTTTTACCATTCAGCTTTTACAATTTCTCTAACCACATATTCCCAACATGTTCTTGCTTTCTTTTACATTTTTCATCCTACTCCTCACTGTACAATCCAGCATTTCCCTACTCCTTAGCCTATAAAACTATTTACTGCACTAACATTTTCCAATCTCCTATCTCCTTTACCACCTTCCTTCCTTGAGCTCCGATAGTATTGCCAAGTTCTCTCCAATTCCCTCTCATGCACAACTCTTTGGTTTTCATCCAATTTTCAATCAAGTACCTATTACAGAACAAAGTACTTATATATGGCTGCTTCAATATGCATTAGCAATTAAATTCTCTTTTATCTCTCTCAACAGATGGCAAAAACAGTGTGAATAATATCTTTTCAAACTCAATACTAAATGAATATTAAACCCTCCATGTTTGGCCGGTAAGAAAAAAATTTCAGCCACCAAATTTTTGCTTTTTCTAAGGATGAGAAGAAAACTTGCTGTTCAAAATAGTAATCAAATAATTAAGACTAAAGTTCAGCAAAAGTTAGAGATAAAACAAAAGAATCAAAGAATAATTCACAGATCACAGAGAACAGGCAAGAAAACCTTCTTCTCAGCTTCCAACATTCCATGGTAGTTCTTCATTGCACGCTGTAATGCTCTAAGTGCATTGTTCCTGTTCCAAAATGACGCAAATTTATACCTGACCCTACCTGAAATCAGCAAAAGAAAAATAATAGCAACATAAACACGCTTTTACTCAATTCATGCTAAAACCGGAATCTCACTCCCGCAAAATAGGATTCTTCCTAATGTTGTAATAAACTAAATTTGATCTTTAAAGGAAAAGATCTCTGAATGCATAACTGAATAGATAGGGGGAAAAACTGAGTAAGACATCAATCTCTGAATGCAGGAGAATGAACGATATAAGAAACATAGCCTAGCTGTTGAGCATTTTTTTTTTGAAACATAGCAGTTGAGCAGTTTTAAGTCATATGCATTGAACTTCATCCTCTTCACAACAGAAGTACCAACATTGATGACAGTGCCACATTTGTTTATTCTGTAGTTTTGCCAACTGAAACACGTCTAGAGGCTTTTCTCTCTTCTTTTCTGTTCAACAAATACATTCTTGTTTCCACAGTCAAAAAACCCTTTCAGCCAATTAATTAAGGAGAAATCCTTGAGAAACAAATATGCATCTAAGACTTATCCATTTAAAACAACAAAACAGAATTTTCCCTCGATGATGTTTTTTGAGCTCATATTAAGAATAAAATTTTAATGCAGTACCATCAGAAGTAGGAGACAATCCCAATATGAAAAATGAAAATCATCTAAATGCTAGTACATTGAACATAAATTGTCCCTATAAAGCAGCAAAAACCTCACATTTGCTAAATTCAAGTTGACATCAATAAATCACACCAAACCAGGAAAGGACATAAAATTTAAAGAATAATTTGTAAATGATGATCTTTGTATCACGTTGATGGTAAAACTGTAATTACTGAGGTGTAATTCTCTTTTAGTTCAAAATCTTAAAAAATAAAAATCTTTCAGGCTTCCAAGCATTTAGGATAAAGAATTTTAGTCACTCACCATCAGGGCTCCCTAATGGAGGTACACCATGCCCACCAGCACCCATCCGAAGGATAATTGTTATTGCAGGATTAATGAATGCATGCTGACTCCTACGAATCTGCATAAACCAAATGAAAATTACAAGCATAAAAACATTTAAAATTCTCTCCAACATGTCACGAAACTAACTTTAAGAAGTACCGATCAGAAGAAAAACAAAGTATACCTCATCTATATCCCCAAACGGTATTACCACCTGTTATGTAAACAAAAATTGTTAAGAATTGAACAACTGAACATATCTTTTCATTTTATAAAACCATAAAAAATGTCACATCTATACAATATCTTTTACTATCTTTTTACAGTTTAATCTTATTTCCCTTTAATGAAGGATGAGGATGAGGAGATTTTAATGTGTAAAACTGTACATGTCTCTGGATTCTACTGTTGGTAAACTCACTATTAATTTCAGCATATCTTTTGAAGAGGTTACCAAAATTTAATAGGTTAAACCTGGGTAAATTATGCACCAAATGGCAAGCTAACCTTCATTTGTTTGGAGAACACATTAGAATGGAAACAGATGTGCCATGCAGAGACATACATACGACCATGGTACAAGAATGATCTCTCAAGTGCACACGAATAACTATGCTCCACAACCTGAAAGAAACCATCTGTTAACCTGTGGCTTGAAAAAAATTATGTATTGCAAAGAACTCCTATTTTTTAATCTAACCATATCATGCCTAATTTATTTATAAATAAATTTTGTTAAAAATACATTTTATGAAACTTGCCTCATCTGGAAGGAGGTCAAATATTGTCTGTAAAGGCCCTGGCTTTTGATGAACCACTGTAGGCCCTTGTTTATCTAAAGTAATCCTTCTTCGAGCACTAGCTCCAGCATATCCATTTATACCCCTGTCAGCAAAAGCTTTCAAACTATCAATGACAATAAACACAAGGCCACCAGTATTTTTCATTAAGTGAGACTAATATAGGAAAAAAATTAGCATAACTTAACACAATTATTTTCATTTTCAGTAGAAATATATATATATATATATATATATATATATATGAGAAGCTGCAAGATATACCTGGAACAATTCACAGGGAGTTTTATTGTTTTAATATGTAGACAAACCTGAAAAGCAGTAAAGCCTTTTATTGATCATTATGAGAAGTAAGGATTAATGTAAAGGAGCCAGAAAAATAAGATAAATACAGAACCTAGGAATAAAAGATCACCTGTCCAGATGAGCTATCTAATGTATGCCATAATGCGGTATTTTGAGTTTCACTTTCAACTGGAACAGTAACTGAACCAAGTACTGCACTCTTCCAAATTATATCCCAGTCATATATTGTCACATTTATCTGCCAAGAGGAGTGGGAAGGATTCTGTTAGACAAACTGTGCCACAAAGGAAAATAAAAAGGACTGTTAATGTAGCTGTCTTCATTTATTTTATCTCTTATAAATGCTTCCTTTATTGAATTACTCTATCTCACTTTTTTTCACATAATTATGCAAGTGACTACTCAAATTACCGTAAATAAAGTTCCCTTTGATCACAAAGCCAAGAATTAGAAGAGAAATACTAATGGATATATTATTAGGACATTCATGATACATGGCTTTGAACAGCAAAGATATAATCATAATTTGCAGCAGCAACTTGGTAGAAACAAGTGAATGTAAAAATTGGTACAGCCAGGGATCTAAGTATAAGTCCTCTATAAAATCGCTCCTTTATAGTATAAATGATGCTTAAAGAATTTTGAACAATTTATTCTAAAGCATGGTTGATATTCATTATGTAAAAGCTCCATCAAGACAGAAATAAAAAGTTTTGAAGGGTGTTATATGTAGAGAAAGACAAAATAACAATAGAGACCTGGTTTCTCTCCACCAGTATGAGACTAGGCACACGAGCTTCCACATGAAATGCATATCAAAGAATATAAAAGAATGAAAAGTGCATATTTTTTTAACAAAGCCTTAGTCTCCCTCCAACACTTGGAAGAAAAAATTATTCCAACCGTCATACATCTCTAGGTTAAGACCCTACTTCAAAAGCTGTATGCTTCGGGTAATCCAAAAAAACTTAGTTTGCCTCAAGAATGACAACAGAATTTGCATCAAAGCAAGAAGACTATGATAATGCTTCTTGCTGGTGATAAAATATTTTGATTTAAATCAAAAGCACATGAAGTTAAACTGGACTCAGTGGGTGGTATAGAGCATGCATATTCCACAAAGAAAGCAAACTGAAAAATGTCCAAATGCCTGTCTAAAACAAGAATAAATTATAACAGAAACCTGGACAGGAAGCTCATCTACAGAGAAATCAAACTCCTCTCCCCACATGGGGTTTCTTGAAGCAGGGACCATTGAACTGCAACAACAACACAAGTAAATTCTTAAGAAATGTGACACAATACAGGTATTATATATTTCTTATAAAAATATTTAAAAAAAAAAAAGAGGACCTATTCCGAAGTACAAAGGTGTATATCCGGCCATTTATGACTTCTCCAGATACAGCATGGTGGAAAAGAACTGGAATTATTATTCTGTCCAACTATATAATTTCAAGAACGGAATGTGTAACATATATTGTTTTTTCTCCAGTTCATGTAAACATCTATGACATAATATTATTAATATCACAGTCTCTAAGACTAATGGATCCAAACAACAAAAACAACTCCGTCCTTTAACCATCAATCCTTAACTCTTTCACTAGTTTTACTTCGTATGAATTCCCTATTTGTTCTTAAACCAACAGATTTCAGAAGAATTTCCATGCACCATAGTTGAAATTTCATGAACCCAATATGAACAAGGAAAATCATTCACGCATGTGTAATGCATAAGGCTAAGAACTTTACTTTTTCCCAAATGTTAACTATTGTTAAGTACTACTGTCCACTTTCATTTTTGTTTGAAGACCAGTGTTGTTGCTTAAATATAATTACTATATAGGCATTTTGAAGACTTCTTAGAGTACTAATCATGTCCATCTGCAAGCACAAATGCCATGGAATATCATTTACAAAAGCCCTAGACTATTCATAACCTCCCACTTGTAAAATCTAAATAAACACTACAGACATAAAAGCACCATAATTTGAAGTCATAATCACAAGCCTATATGATATAAATGTTAAAAAACCCCCAAAACAGTAGCTGTCTATTTACCTTAATAACACTAACCTCAAATACAAATGACACTTTTCCCTTAAAGAACCAAAAATGCAACTACAGATGTAAAATCTTGAACAAACAAAAAATTTGAAAGGTGAAGTTAAAAAATAGATTTAAAAAAAAAAAAAAACTTATGATCAAGTAACTGGTAAGCGGCAACCATAAATGCTCTAAAGCCAAAACAAACCAATATACAAGGTGTGATGGTACTAACCATAACAAGGACACAAAAAGTACTGTGTTACTATAACGCAAGCAAATGTTGCTTTTCTTGCGAGTACTTCTCATGTATGCTATCTGTATAGCTTACTTATAATCATAAAAAACTAAATCTTAGATGACCAAATATTGCTAAAAAAATTACAAGTCATCAACCTTCAGAAGTTAGCACTGCAAATGAAATCAACTAACCTGAATCTCTTTTCAGAACCACAAGTAATGATAGCATAAGGATCTGATGTGCCATTCAAGTTTGCACCAATGAGATTCTTAGCAGCTAGCAATTCCACCTTAAAAACAAAGCAAAAACAGTCTCATGTGGGATTCAAAACAAGACTCATTAAATGAAATAAGATCCCAACATACCTTGATTAGATATGGAGAATTGGTCTGAAGATCTCCTTTCAACTGGACCATCTACAAAATAAGTGCACAACTGCATGTCAAAGAAGTGGAAAATTACTCCGTGAAAAGAGCACACATAACATTGTGTACTACAATAGAATAAGATTGAAAATACTCGTGTTTACAGATGGCATTGAACTAAACAGCTATAGTAGTGCATTTAATGGACAGTATCAAATAAACCAAGAAGTGTGATGCCAAGCAGATTTTTTTGCCCTTTATCAGAGGAAACTCTGACAAACATCAATATCTCACGTTCTTGCAAATTTTACCAGCAATAAATAATAGCCAACATAACAAGCAGAAACTAAGCAATTTTCCACTATGTAGGGATCATATTGCACATTGTACCCTATGCAAGCCATATTGCCTAAAAAAGAACCTTTTATTTCTAAAAAAAAAATTGCATACAATTATATTCCAGTAATAATCAAATAAAACCCCCCAAAAAAGAAACTCACAAAGAAAATTATCACTAAGAGACATGACATGAACTTCACTTAAAAAAATCAATAATAGAAAGGGCTTAAAATTTACATTAATAAAAAAACGGAAGAGTTCTAGATAGATAAGAAAAACAAGATTAAATTCTTACTAATCAAGGAAAAATATCCACAAAAATTCAATCCGAAACCAAAACTAACAAAATTAAGAAATAAGTAACTAAATTGACATTGACTCGATGAGATCATTAACAAAAAATTTTTTTTTTGAAAAGTTAGCAAAAAAAGTTAAAAAAAATATAGTAATTGTTACTCAGTGAACAAAAAATCCTGCAAAGATCACCAAAACACACACACACACACAAAGATGTGAATTTGCTTTCACTTAATGTCATCATCTACAAGAAAAATCCATAAACAAATAAATTCAAAACAATAAAACAATAAAAACCGACTTAAACAAAGAAAATTTTCTTAAAAAGAAAAAGTAAAAAAATTGACCTTGTCTTTATCGTCAAGAATTCCATCAGCAGAATTCACCAGAACCTGCGATCGATCACCTCCGCGGCCATCTCCGCCTTTGAATGTAAAAAACCAATAAGAAACGATAACGAACACCGACGCCGCCAGCGCCACTTTGACCTCCCACCAAGAAGGCACCAAATACTCCACCACCGCCGTTTTAATCATCACAAATATATTTGTTTAAGAATCCTTCTTCGTTTATTTCCGTAATTATTATTTCTATAAAATCAAATTAAAAGAATTTAAGCAACAATTTGGTTAGAATTTGAAAGGGTTTAATTTTAGGGTTCTTTGATTTGTAATTTTGTACAGAGAAAAAAAAAAAAGGTTGGAAACAAGCATTTTGTATTTTGGGAGAGAGTCAAATATGGAGACCGTTGGAGTGTTGAATGGCTTGCCAGTTAACACCTGGAAAGAATCGTTATTGGATTTTTAATGACGTAAATACTGTTATTTTTTCCTATAATTACAGAGAATGTGTGCGGTTTTATTTTATGGTTTCGGTGAGACCGAGAAAGGCTGTAAATGAATAGAGTTGAGCTGATTTTTTTTTTAATTTAAATTTAGTTTAATTAAAAATTAATGAATTTATAAATGAACGAATTTTTAATAAATTTGTTTTTTCCTATAATTACAGAGAATGTATGCGTTTTTATTTTATGGTTTCGGTGAGACCGAAAAAGGCCGTAAATGAATAGAGTTGAGCTGATTTTTTTTTTATTTAAATTTAATTTAATTAAAAATCAATGAATTTATAAATGAACGAATTTTTAATAAATTTGATAATATATTTTTAAATTCAATTCGATTATTTTTATCGAATTTTAATCGAACACAACAAACTCTTGCTTCAAATCCTAATAATGAATTTAATACTCATTATAGCCCATGATCGAAACCCACGACCAATAAGTGAATTGACTTGCTGACTTTTAAATTTTTACTATTGATATATGCAAAAAGAAGCGATAAAAGATGAAAATTTATCGACTTAACGTATCCCTTATTTTGGCTCTTATGTCAATGTGGGATTACTATCAATAAAGTTTTTAAGCATATAAAAAGAGTTATTTTGTAATAATATTTTTTAAAAGTTAAAAGTTATAGTTAATCTGTGTCATATGTAATTTTTAATGATATAAATTTTATAGATTGACAAAAAATATTACATCTTAAAATAATCAATTTTAATATTTTAAATAAATTATAATCAAATTTATTCATGAATATTAAATGAATTTATTTGCAAATATAAACGAATCTAATAGAGTTTTGTTTTATTCTGTTTGTTTAATAAACTAATATAAAAATATTATTTAAGATTATTTATTAAGCTTAATAAATTAATATAAATGAATAAAAATCGAACATGTTTACAAATGATTCGTCGAAATCTTTATTCATTTACACTTGTAAGTGTGATGGATAATTTTGTTCAGTGAATTTATAAATTATAATGTGTAAAAAAGTAATTATTCGCATGAGATGGAATGTATGAGTTGATGTATGACATGCTAAGTTTGGATTATTCCTTTTATAGATTAAGTAAAAATGTCTTTGGTTATAATATAGATTTTAATACATTGATCAAAAGAAAATTTAATATTATGAATAGATATGAATTTCAGTCTTAAAATAAAATAAGGTTAAATCTAGTAAAAAATTTCTTTTTTCAAAGACATTTACTTTGCTCCACTTTCTAGGCATAACCTAAAATTTTTACTCATCATTAGCTGTGGTTTAAAATTTTGTGGTTCATAAGATAATATGAAGATGATAAACCAATTATGTGAAATTTCGAAACTAAGTTCCTGTGATAAGTATTATATTAAAGAGCTCCTGGCCATCAAAATTCATAGTGAGGACTAAGCCTATAACTTTTTTGCACCTGAATAACGTCTTAAAATTTAATTTACACCTAAATAAGCCCTTAATTTTTAATATGCATTCAAATAAGTCCCAAACCTTTAATTTATAACTAAATAGACTTTTAATATAAATAAATATTTTGTTTGAAATAAAGGTTTATTTATACACAAATCAAAAAATAAGAATTTATTTGAGTACAATAAAAGTATAAAGGCTTATTTAAGAAAAGTAGAATAGTTTAAGGACTTTTTTAGTATTTTAGCCTATAATAAAATCAGAGGATTAAAAGTAAATTAAAAATTAGAAAAACATTATATTTACCATTTGGATAATAGTTTTTTATTATGACTTATTTTATTAAGGGAAAACTTTATATACATCTTTTGTGGTTTACGATTTTTCCACTTATACTTTTTTTGAAAATTTTTTTTCCACTTATAACCATGCAGTTCACTTTTATTACTAGAAAGGGAATAATTTACTTTTATTAATGGAAGTGAATCATAAGGTTATAAGTGGAAAAATTTTTCTAAAAGAGGTGAAAATGACAAAGTTGCAAACTGTAAAGGGTGTATATATGTGAAGTTTACCCTTTTATTAAAGTGCTTATTTTGGTACATAGCAAGTTTAAGAAAAGGGGTTGTAGGTATTGGAATTCAAATTCTAAACCTTCTAGATGTCACCTTACAAGAGTGATTGTATTAATTAATTGAATTAAACTTCGGATCTTATTAAAATATTTTTTTAAAGCCATGTTTGGTACATAAGATGATAGATAAGATGAGAGAATAATCATCATATACCATGTTTAGTTTGTGTCTAAAAAAATGAATAAGATTGGAAGGAAAATTAATTACCTTTTTGGCATAAATGATTTAATCATCCCAATGTGAAAATGATTATTTTTAATCTATGATATTAAACTTACATTTCCTATTATACCTTTAAAAATTACATCAATAATTTAAATTATAAAAATTTAAGGAAAGATAATTTTAACCAATAAATAAAATTATCTTATCTTATCCTTACACACATTAAACACAAGATATGATGATATTTAATTTCTATTCTATCATAATATATCTTATTCATCTAGAAGGTGACATTTTACTTACAAGATAGAATAAGATTATATTATGAATATGATATGTTTAGTAGAATAGGATAAAATTATCCTTGTATGAACCAATGGTAAAAACTAACGTTTGACGATATTTTATTATTTTGATTCCCCTATTTTTGTAGTTCCTTAAGCTTGGCCAATGATATCATGTCACGTAAGCTATTTAATGGTGAAGACCCATTATGAACTAAAAAAAAAATTAACACACGTAAGCAAATTGAAAATTTTGCTTTTGTTTCCTCTATTGTTACGGTTTCTTACGCTTGGCGAATGATATCGTGTCAAAGCTATTTAATGGCGAGGACCTATTATGAACTACCAAAAAACATTAACACATGTATGCAAATTGAAAATTTTGCTTGGGGTTAACACCAAGCTTAAATATGTTTTTGTTTTTTTTTTTGGGCCAAAAAGCTTAATAGGGGAACCATTATGCTTTTTTTTTTTTTGGCTAAGAAACTTAAATTTGCTTTTCAAATATGACATTTATTAAGATGAAAATGTCGTATTTGAGCCAAATAATGTGTTTATGTTTTGAAAAATGTCGTATTTGTATAATTTTTGTTTTTTCCCAAGGCATTCACAATGTTTTTTTTACATTTACGTCGTATAACTATATTATATTTTATATTTTATTTTTTGTTTCATTAAAAAAACTATATTTGAAATCAAATTTTTTCGGTTAACGATGTTATATTTAACAAAAACGATATATTTGACATGTAATAAAGAACGTTATTATAAAAGAACTTTATTTAAGTAATCTGACTTTCTCCCAAACCAAACATAGAAATCTAATATTCTCATGCCAATAAAATCACCCATTGCCAGGAATCAACATTTTCCTATGGATCAATTTTCATTTGGGAATCTAAGATTTCACGAACTAAACCCCCCTTTACTCTTTTGTATATATCTAAAAAAAGTGAATGAATACATAAAGTTCTATGGTGCAATGTCTTAACTATTGATATCATTAGAGTTTATAAGACTAGTGCCTTTGTGTGTCAGACTTTATATTGTAATGTAATATGTTTTTGACTCTATCAATGAATGTCTCATTTAACAATTTTATTAGGTTAAATAATAAGCTATAATTAAAGTACATTTTTGTTCGTATTACTATGTCTAGGAGTTCAAAAGCTTTAAATAACTGTTATTATGATATGAAGATGATGACAACAACAATGATGATGTTGGGAGTCTAGCACAGATTATGAAAAGGGAAAATAAGAAGATGGTAAGTTATATATTCATGTCTTATTTTGATTTTACCTCATTATTTCTTATTACAACATTTCATATTTGATCACTTTAGTTGACTAAACTAGTGCATTCTTTATCTCTTGGAAAATTTTTTAATCATAGTTATACTATCATTTTTTCTTGTATTAAGTGTGTTGTGTAGGATTAGCTCAAAAGAAAGATGATTAGTCAGGGCTAATTCTTGAAAGCAATAACTCAGACACCAAGACTACTTTTATAGGACAATCATTGATTCTCCTTATTAAGTATCAAGCTGCCTTGAACGAAGACAAAGAATTAGGTAAGGTATTTCTTTAATAAAACCAATAACTTATGAATCTTAGTGATATATGTAGGAGTCTATGAGGTTGCTTGATGGATATTCTAAACAAATGTAGGGTTATTGTTGTTTAATGTTTTGTTTTTCTAAATATGAAGATTACATTCATGATTGTTCTATTAAAACAAATGTGTTTGATACAAACTGTTTTGGATTGCATGAATTACTTCTAACCATTCCTCATAATTATGACATATTTATGCATTTGTTCTTTAAATCCTATTATTTGTTTTCTTGCAATATGTGAATAGCTAAGATGGTTAATGGTAAAATAGCTAATACTAGAAAAAAAGAATTATTAGATATGAAATTGTAAAACAAAGGAAAATAAGGAAGCAATTGATTTTACAATCGGCCAGGTTATCAATATAAAGGGCTAGAACAATAAACTTTTGTTGAAGAGGTTCTCAATAGGAATAAGTCTAAATCATTGACTCGTGAAGACGTTAATGATCTATTGTGTATGTTACATTCATAGTATATGTAGTTGGGATGAAAATGAGTGTAGCTGAAATAAAGATGCTTAGATGGATGTGTGATAAGATTAAAAGAGATAAAATAAAATATGAAAAGATTCAAGAAAAA